AAAAAAAAAAAAAAACACAGCAGACTATTCCATTGAAACCACCCAGGGACCATTCACACAAGGCAGTTGCGGTAATGTACTTTACATGGGTTGGTATGCTGTGGTCCCATTATTGTAAATGGCACCTTCCCAAAACACAGTACACTGCGGTCACCGAACTTGGTCCAGCAGCAATTTTTTGGCCTGTTGTAGTGCACTGGTGGCCCATTCATGTATATGGGCTGCCTTAAAGAATAAGTGCACTCATTTAAAACAAGGGGAGGGAGGCAAAACATTTTTTTTTTTTAAAAAGCACACTTTGTGCAAAAAGAGCATTTATTCTTTAACGCGCATGCATTAGACAAACCACAGCTTCTTGGTGGGAGGAAATCTTACTAGGGTTACCATTAAAAAGTACTGCTGGGTAGAAAGTGAAACTGTTCAGCTAGCTGGGTTACTTCCTCTGTCTTACTTCCTCTGTCTACTTTGTATAGAAACAGTTCCATATTTAAAATGTAATACTACAGATTTTTGTATACGAGAGAGAGCAAAGAGACTGCAGCAGAAGAGTTTGGGTACACCTCTCAGAAGTAAAAGGGGTTCCAAGATTACATATGTTCCTACAGTAAGTCTCTTCTGGAATAAAAATTCTCCCTGCTTTTAAGTTTTTCAACTCAAGTCAAAAGATCTACTTTAAAGTTTAAACGGTCATTACAAACTATTTTATTATGAGCATATGTATTAAAAAAGGAGAACTATGAGGTGAGTGCTTTTCACTTATCCTCATACGGTAGTTCTAGCCGACCTGTGACAATGAAACGGTCACAGGTTGGCTCAGTAGATCGGGAAATGAGCGAACACATACCGGCGTTCGCTCACTTCTCGCTCCTTTCACGGCTCTCTGCCGTGTCAGGGGAGGGACTAGATTCCCCCCGCCCCACTCTGATCCTCCAGCGCTGACTGGCGGAACGGACGGGGGAGGGGCGGATACAGCTCACTCTGCCTCTAGATAGGCAGAGTCAGCTGTCACTCACGCAGCTGGGCGGATCCAGACATAATTGTCGGGATCCGCTTCAGCTATGACATCTCAGTGTACCGCGAGCTGTAGCTCGTGGGAAAACTGAGCTTAGGGTCACGGGAGGATGCTAGTTTGTGTCCTCCCGTTACCCTAAGGAGAACTATGGGGAAAGCCCTGACCCCATAGTTCTCCTTTAAATGCAGACATCTTTCTAAAGTCTGGAAGCCTACAATCCTGGGGTGCTCTACTAATCTGCAAGAACCGACACTTCCCAGTAGTATCATAGGTCATCCTCCCATCACTCCAAAGAGCACCTCACCTGCCAATAGAAAAGTACGGGACAAACGGACAACATGCAACACTACCAGGACATATCAAAACACGCAGGTTAGAGTGACCTTGAATTTAACAGTCATGTGACACTCCGGACGACTCCAAAAAGCACGCCCAGGCATCTCTACATACCTGCACTTAATGCATGTGCTCACTTTACAAACTTTTCAATGACAGGTATATTTAATTTCAAATTCTGAATTCAGTGTACATTTTTAAGCATATCTAAACCCCGAACCAAAAATGTAATACATTGCAGCTTATCAGTCCGTAGATGTGATGGCTACATTAGTTTGAGCTTGCCAGTAATGTAGCGTTCTTGTTACTTTGTCAGCGTAAACAACAATGCCAAGAACCTTCCCTAAAATTCATATAAAGTGGTGCCAACATATGACAAATGTCAGCAAGTGTGACAGATTCTTGTATACATCAGTAATATCTACACAAATGTCTCACAGAGATGCAACAGAATTGGCAGAATATGACGATTGCGTCGCATCTTTGCTAGGATTAAGGTTGACAGCCACCTGTGCCCTAGCAACCTGTCACACTGTCTAACCAACAGCGTAATAGCAAACAAATGACTCTCAGTTGAACAGCCAAATTGATTGCAAGGAACAGCGTAGTAGCAACCAATTAGAGTGAAGGGGGCAATGAACTGGGACACCAAGGGACCAAATTAGACCAAAATGTTGAATTAGGCCTTATTTACCACCAGTTTCCTCACCTACGAAACAGCGGTACCTCTTTATGAATTTATCACAGCCACTGCAACATAATGTAAAAGTTTGCTAATAAGCTATGCATCGGTCAGATCAATTGAACTGTCACACTACTTAGGAAATTGGCGCAGGGCTAACACCAGAAAAGTGTTGCAAAAGCTTTAATGAATTGCTCTGCGTATCTTTAGAGGGTAAACTATTATTCACATGAATTCACCAGGTAATGGAGATGAACAGAGGTAGGCATTCTTGAGGTCCAGCCTGTTTAACAACCATGACTCCTCCCATAGATACAATGGAACAGTAAGTGTGTTATTTGCAGTATCACCAAGTGAAAATAAATAGGAAAAGGCTTTAACAAAAAGCAAACTAATGCAGCCACCACATCTCAGCATTGGTAAGGTGGAAGATATTAGATTTTATTTTGGGTATAGATACACTTAAAGCAAGAAGGCTGTCTGCTAATTGCAGCCTTTACAAGCCTGAGCAATGCCAACTGTTATCAGCATGTAATCAGTGACTGCTGTGGTCCCTAAAAAAAATGTATGGGCGTGTCCAACCAATGAAAAGTGAGCATGTTCTGTGGTTAGATTATGACCTATATTTCAATGATATGCTATGTTCACAGGCAGAATACTGATGACCATAAATAAGGGGTGGAAGAATAAATGCAGACATTAGAAGTCAGTCAACACAGCTAGCAGCCATGAAAGACCATAAGCCCCCATTCACAGCTGAGCAATTTGAAATGCGTTTCCTGAATCAGTTTGATGCTAGTCACTTAGATTTCCATGTTATTCTATGGCGCCCATTCATATCTGAAAGCTGTGCTGTCAGTCAACTCCTCAAACAAAGTACAGGAGCTTCTTTGGGGCATGATCATGGATTTTTGACCCCAATAGACATCCATCGGAGTGCTTGAAAGATGTGCAACAAGCTTTCCATTGGCTAAAACAAATGTGGGGAAAAAAAAAAATGACCAAAGACACCGATGTTCAAGTGTCAGTGAAACCTCAGATAAAAACCAAAGAGCTCAATGAAGTTATACGCAAGCAGCATTTTTTAAGCACGCTGGCTACCTGGCCCCCACCCTATATCTTTAATTAAAACTTAATCCTGGGCTCAAAAACTTTTAGATATATTCCTCAATGGACACAACGAATATAAATCCCCTTTGTGTGCACCAAAGGCCTCTGCCATCCCAGTTATTACCTTGTAACAGTAGCAATGACATAATCACTGCGCTGCACATTTACAGAGAGCAGAGCTGTGGGAGGGGCCCAGCGGGACCCACCTCTTACAGACTGCCGGTAGAAAACTAGGGGGTGGATACAAGACCAGTCACCCTCCATAAGGAGAGAGAGCAGAAGTGGCCAGTCTTTATTACAAATCGTGCAGAGGAAAATAGGAGTTGTTGTTTCATGCTTGATTACTGCATAGATTCGTGAAATACGCCAAGCCTAAAGTGCAAATACATAGGACACGATATTTCGACAATATTCGCTTTCCTGGAGTTCAGCTTTAATATTTTTCATCCTATCCATGGATACAAAAACATCTCCCCTTGCAGTGGCTACCCCTGCACTGTAAGGGTTAACTACTCATTTGTTTCTAGGAGATTAGGGTTTCACTTACCTGATCCCTGCTCCCCCAGCCCTCTGCTCTCTCCCCTCCGGCTTATGAACTGTCCCAACTTATAATGCATGGCTATGTACCCTGCATTGTATGAGATGACCCCAGGGGGCGTCCGACCACCTGAGCACAGAGGGATAAACGGCTGCAAGTGCTGGTCGAAGCCAGTATGAGTGGGATCAGATAAGTAACAATACATTACACCGGTCCCCTAGACAAAAGCAAAA